TCTCTCCTTCCCTGGGGAGAGACTGAACTATAGCCACACAGGTGTGCAGTCAGTGACTCCGAGTATCACTGCCCACAGTCTCCTTTCACAACAATGTGAGCCTGCCCATGTATGAACTGAATGGAGTGGCATGTAAATATGAATGGAGTGTTGCAGAGCTTTGGCAACAGTCACGGGCGTAGGTACGCATCCCCCCCCCGGAAATCATCCGGCGGGGGGCAGATAATGCAGAAATCCCCCCCAGGACAAGTGATGTTTGCCGCCCCCCGGACAGGCTGCGTGCGGCTCCATAATGGAACCGCACGCAGTGTACACTGCGCCTTCCCCTCCCGCTCTGCATAGGAGCGCCGGGTGTCACGTGACTACCCGGCACTCAGTCTGACACCATGCGCTGCTTAAAGAGGTCCCCCTACCCTGCTCTGTGCGGTAAAACGGAAGGGAGGGGGACAACAGTGTGCAAGGAGGAGAGTGGAGCCGGCGTCATTATATGCTCAGACGCCGGCTCTGGAAAAAAAAAAAGCAGCTACCTACCCTGCCACTGCCAGGTATTTAGTATGGAAGGGTTAGTGGCGAGATATAATTAGGGGAGGGGGGGGTGGGTAGAAAAATGAATGGAAGAGGTTAGGGGCTACTAATAGGAATGGAGGGGGGTGGAAGGGTACTAATAGGGGTAGAAGTAGGTACGCATCCCCCCCCAGGATAATATGAATGGAGGGGTGGGGGTACAAATATGATTGAAGGGGGTACAAATATGAATGGAGGGGTTAGGAGGGGGTACAAATATGAATGAGGGGGGAATAAGAGGGGGTATTAATATGAATGGAGGGTACTAATATGAATGAAGGGGTAAGGGGCTACTAATATGACTAGAGGGGTGGGGCTGTGGGGTAGTAATATGAATAGGAGGGTAGTAATATGAACGGAACAGGTATGGGGGTAGTAATATGAACGGAACAGGTATGGGGGTAGTAATATGAACGGAACAGGTATAGGGGGTAGTAATATGAACGGAAGGGGTATGGGGGTTAGTAATATGAACGGAAGGGGTATGGGGGTTAGTAATATGAACGGAAGGGGTATGGGGGTTAGTAATATGAACGGAAGGGATATGGGGGTTAGTAATATGAACGGAAGGGATATGGGGGTTAGTAATATGAACGAAAGGGGTATGGGGTTAGTAATATGAACAGAAGGGGTATGGGGGTAGTAATATGAACGGTAGGGGTATGGGGGGTAGTAATATGAACGGAAGGGATATGGGGGTTAGTAATATGAACGGAAGGGATATGGGGGTTAGTAATATGAACGGAAGGGATATGGGGGTTAGTAATATGAACGAAAGGGGTATGGGGTTAGTAATATGAACAGAAGGGGTATGGGGGTAGTAATATGAACGGTAGGGGTATGGGGGGTAGTAATAAGGATGGTAGAGGTATGGGGGGGTAGTAATATGAATGGAAGGGGTATGGGGGGGTAGTAATATGAATGGAAGGGGTAGATGGGGTAGTAAGTGTCCCTAAATGGCAGTTAGGAAATGTGGTCACCCTAAGTCAGGGCAGCCATTAACACGGGGCAAAAGGGGCAGCTGCCCAGGCCCAGTTGCTCCTGGGGGGCCCCTCTGCCCACAATAATATGCTAAAAATGTTCCCTCTCAAATCCTGATCTGATTCAATCCTCCACTATTCGGCATCACCGCATATTAAAGGACTTTGTTTGCTCCTCCTCCCGACCTCCCTTGCCCTCTGCGTACGCGCGTTCCATGATGTCACGTGGAGTCACGGCAACGCTAGGGTGAGCCCTGATCTCCTACAACTGCAGAGCAACGCCTCATGCTTTCAGCCCCGAACCCTGAGCCCAGAGCACTGCTGGTGTCTTCAGTACTGTAAGTACAAGAAGATATATTACTTGTTTTATGGGGGTTAGGATACTAGGTGGTTGGAGGGGAGACGATTAGGGACGGGTGGATAGAGGGGTTAACCAGGGATATCATACTGATCACATGGAATGCTCACATCTAGACAGAGATATCATACTGAGCACATGGAATGCTCACATCTAGACAGGGATATCATACTGAGCACATGGAATGCTCACATCTAGCCAAGGATACCATACTGAGCACATGGAATGCTCACATCTGGCCAGCGATATCATACTGAGCACAT